TAATTTAAACCCCAAAATCATATTATTCATTAGAACTGTCATCAGAATGATTGTTTTTATCAATAGCACCTGTTGTTGCTTTTGTAACATGTTTGTTTTGTTCTGTTTTTTTTAGACAGGGTCATGCTCTATTGCCTGAGTTAGAGTACATTGGTGTAATCCTAGCTCACTGCTACTTCAGACTTCTGGGCTGAAGCAATCTGTCTTCCTTGCCCTCCCAAGAAGCTGGGACGACAGGTGCAGACCATGACACCAAGCTAATTTCTGTTTTTTGAAGAGACAAAGTCTCTCTCTCTCTCTCTCTCTCTCTTTTTTGAGACAGTGTATTATTATGTCGCCCTTGGTAGAATGCTGTGGCATCACAGCTCACAGTAACCTCAAACTCTTAGGCTTAACTGATTTCTCTTGCCTCAGCCTCCCAAGTATAGCCTCCCAACTACAGGTGCCCACCACAATGCCCAGCCATTTTTTTGGTTGTAGTTGTCATTGTTGTTTGGCAGGTCTGGGCTGGGTTTGAACCTACCAGCTCCAGTGTATGTGGCTGGTGCCTCGCCTCTGAGCTACAGGTGCCAAGCTGATCGATACCAAGTCTCTTTGTGTTCCTCAGGCTGATGTCCAACGCTTGGCCTGTAGTGATCCTACCTCCTCAGACTCCTAAAGCGCTGCCATTATAGGTGTGAACCACTCTGTCTAGCCTTTAAAAAATATTTTATTATATACATTTCAAACATAGAAAAACACAGTGTGCAATCCAAAATGAGGTTTCAGTGAGCTAAAGATGATGCCACCAGGCTCTGGCTCCTGCAAGAAAGCAAGACCCTTTCTTAAAAGATGAAAATAAATAGAAGAAAGTAAGTTTGGAGAGTACTCCAGTGGTTCTCAACCTGTGGATTGGGACCCCTTTTGAACAATGAAAGTACATTGCAGCCTTAGGAAGGTTGAGAACCAAACCTTCCTAACGCCAGGGCCCTTTAACACAGTTCCTATGGGTCGCTGCTCTAAGAACTCAAGTTAGACCTCTCATTACTAGGCATTTACCCAGAATAAAAATAAATCATTTTATTA